TGCAAGAACAAGGGCCTAGCGTCTGCAAAATTGCAAGAACAAGGGCCTAGCGTCTGCAAAACTTCAAGAACAAGGGCCTAGCGTCTGCAAAAATTCAAGAACAAGGGCCTAGCGTCTGCAAAAATTCAACAACAAGGGCCTAGCGTCTGCAAAAATTCAAGAACAGGGGCCTAGCTGTCAGAAATAACTGAGCAGGAATGAATGAACTAGCACAGAGTTTGGTACAAGTAGGAAACCCTAACTTTGTGTACCCCCTAAGGTGTAACCCACTACAGCCTACACAATATAAACATACAATGTTTGACACACCCCCATAGGCGCAGTGGGAGACAACCACAGGGTCACAAGACCAGTCAAAGCAAAGCAAGCTCAGGGTGGATCTCAAGGATTCCACACAAATTCCGAGCACAAGCAAGCGGTCCCAAGACCAGTTCACATGCAGGTTTATAACAAAGCAAGAGATACAGTGATCACAACCTAGCAAAAGTAAACAAGTAGGCATATATATATAGTGATCACAGTACAAGCAAGGTCAAGAGGTAAGCAAGTGAGGCCCAGTGGGTACAAGGCCTAGCAGAGTGCAAAAGCGCTGATGGTCACAAGGCTGAAGCGCCTTGGTGAACACATCAGCAGTGTTGGCCTCCGTGGCCACGTAACGCAGACAAAGCTGACCACGCTGCTGCAGCTCTCGAGCAAGGAAGTACCGCAGAGCGATGTGCTTCGTTCTGTGCTCCAGTCTGTGCTCCTCACACAAGGCAATGGCAGCCTTGTTGTCGACGTACAGCACTGGAGGAGAACGAGGCCGCTCTCCGAGGTCGGTCAGCAGGTAGGTCAGCCAGCGTAGCTCCTGAGCAGCCATGGCTGTGGCGTAGATCTCAGCCTCACAACTAGAGCTGAGAACAGAAGAAGAGCGAGTAGAACGCCAAGAAACTGAGCCAGAGCCAAGGCTGAAGGTGTAACCCTGGGACGACCGCTGAGTAGCCTGGTCGTCTGCCCAAGAAGCGTCTGAGTGCCCTGTGAGAACAACCCGGTCTCGCCCTCCAAGCACAAGCCCCATGCCCGACGTACTGCACAAGTAGCGCAACACCCTCTTAGCAGCATCCATGTGCTCCTTCCGGTGACGGCCAGGAGCGACATAGCGTGCTAGGATGCTAAGAGGGTATGCAAGGTCAGGTCGAGTGCAGGTCATCAGGTACATGAGGCAGCCCACAAGCTCTGGATACGGGCCACTCGGCTCTACGGACTCATCCGAAGGCAGAGCTGAGAGCGAGTGACCAGTAGGCAGAGGAGTGGACTGAGGCGAGGAGTACGTGAAGCGGAAGCGCTGGAGAACCTGCTGCACCATGTGTGACTGAGTCAGGGTGATGGTGCGCCGTGCTCTGTCCCGGGTGATCCGCAAGCCAAGATAGCTCGTCAGCTCACCCAGGTCTGTGCACGTGTGTCTCCTCTGCAGCTCCGACTTCACGTGAGCGAGTGCCGCGGTGTCAGCAGTGGCAAAGACCAAGTCGTCGACGTACACGAGGATGTAGAACGGCGGCAGCGAGGTGTCGGTGCGTAGAAACAGCGACGGGTCAGCAGTAGAGGGAGCGAACCCAAGAGCCGCAAGTGTCGTCCTCAGTGTGTCGTGCCACTCACGTGGCGCCTGGCGGAGACCGTAGACCGGCCGCTGAAGCCTCCACTGGGTGCCAGGAGGAACTGACCCAGTGAAGCCAGGGGGGCGGCGCAGCCAGATCTCCTCGTGCAGGCTGCCCTGCAAGAAAGCAGTGCTGAAGTCAAGAGAGTGAAGCTCGTAGTCGCGGTGAGCGGCTATGTGCAGCAGCACCCGAAGAGTAGTCATCTTCGGGGTGGGGGAGAAGGTCTGAAAGAAGTCTACTCCCTCTCGCTGACTGAAGCCTCGAGCCACGTAGCGCGCCTTGAAGACAGGTGGAGAACCCGGCGGCCGCTTCACCCTGAAAATCCACATGCCACTGACGATGTTCGCCCCAGGAGGGGGAACCTCGTCTACGTAGGTGCCTGTGGACTTCCAGGAGGCCATCTCTGCGTCCATGGCTGTCTGCCACTGAGAGGAGTAGGGACCCGCCATCGCCTCAGCGTAAGAGCGTGGGGTCGGGATGTCTGGTGCATCCGGGTCTCCCTCAGGGGCAACTAGCAAGGACACGAGACGGGGCAAAGCAGCAGCAAGGCAGTGGAACTCCTCCTGTTTGTCCTCAAGGACGTCCGTGCCGAGGGCACACTCACCCCCGACGGACGGAGGACAGGCAGACGCAGACTCAGACCTAGCGACAAGGCTGGCAGCGTAGTCTAGGCGACAGCGAGCAGCAAAGTCAACCAACTCAGCGACCAGAGCAGACGCAGCAGAGGACTCAAAGGTCGGGTCAGTGACAACTGTAGCGAGGAGACGCGTAACAGTGGGACTGGCAGCACGACGGGAGTCAGACTCCGGGTCAGGAAGAGTAGGAAGAGAGGACGCAGGAGGAGACGGCAGCGGGACACGCTGCGGAGCAGTGGAGGGACGCAGAGTCATGTAGTGAGTGCCAGGGACAGGAGGAGGACGCTCACGTGGGACACGACGACCAGTGCGAGCAGTACGAACAGGCGACGCAGGACGAGACGCAGGCTCACGACGCTCTGTAAGACCTCCTGTGGGACCAGCGTAAGGGGAGGGAGCAGGGAGAGGTGAGGCAGGCGGTAACTGTGACTGCGGCTGGACAGGCAGAGGACACTCGACTGACGGAGGAGGACTAGGAGGAGGAGCCTGACCAAGAACCTGCTGAAGGAGCGGTACGAAGTACGGTCGCGGCCGCGCAGCGTCTCCAGAAGCAGCAGGGACACCAGTGGCAGCCCCAACGCCCGAGTCCTCAGCACCAGCAGCAGCTCCAACGCCCGGGTCCTCAGCACCAGTAGGAGCTCCAACGCCCGAGTCCTCAGCACCAGCAGCAGCGCCACCGGTCGGGTCCTCAGCACCAGCAGCAGCTCCAACGCCCGGGTCCTCAGCACCAGCAGCAGGGCCACTGGTCAGGTCCTCAGCACCAGCAGCAGCGCCACCGGTCGGGTCCTCAGCACCAGCAGCAGCTCCAACGCCCGGGTCCTTAGCACCAGCAGCAGCTCCAGCCCCCGGGTCCTCAGCACCAGCAGCAGCTCCAGCGTCCGGGTCCTCAGCACCAGCAACAGCACCACCGCTCGGGTCCGCAGCACCAGGAGCACCACTACGAAGACTGCAGCGCCGCGTGTACCACTCGCGGATCACCTGAATGGGGGGGAGCTCCTGGGTAGGAGGGGAAGTACCGGGACGAGCTCCAGAAGCACCTCTCCGGAGGCGGCAGTACTCGAGGTACCTCTCCTGCAGCTGCTGGGAGGAGAGGGCTCCTCCAGGTGGAGCACGCTCAGGCTCAGCACCCCCAGACTCAGCACCCCCAGTCTCAGCACGTCCAGGCTCAGCACCCCCAGGCTCAGTACCTCCAGGCTCCGCACCTCCAGGCTCCGTACCTCCAGGCTCCGCACCTCCAGGCTCAGCACCCCCAGGCTCCGCACCCTCAGACGCAGCACTCCCAGGCTCAGCACCCCCAGACGCAGGACGCGAGTCAACAGCTACCTCGACAGGCTCACCCGGGTCTACCTGGGACACACCTGAGGGAGCGGCACCCTGAGGGGGGAGGGGGTCTGGTACCTCAGCACCTGGAGCGAGGAAGAGAGGGGGGGGGGGAGCGGGGCAGTGCGGTAGGGGAAGAGGCGGTAGAAGGGGACGGACTCGTCAAAAGTGACGTCCTGAGAGGCCAGAACCCGGCGCGAGGTGACGTGGTAAAACTGCCATCCAGGCGCGTCGGGAACAAAGCCAAGAAAGACACAGGGAACAGCGCGACGCGAGAGCTTGTCCGCGGACGTATCGCGGACAAAAGCTCGAGATCCCCAGACCCGGAAACGCGACGCATCGCCAACCTCTCCCGTCCACCGTAGAGTCGGGGAAGTCTCCGGCAAGGAGACACGGGGCCAGAGGTTGAGCTGATGCGCTGCGTACCGGACCGCAAACGGCCACAGAAAGTGGGGAGCAGCCGCATGGGTCAGGGAGGTACGAGCGACCTCCATGACCAAGCCAATGCGGCGCTCAGCGACCCCATTCTGCTGTGGAGAGGCCGGAAGCGTGTACGACTGCTCAATGCCGTGCTCAGCACAGTAGGCTGCCAAGAGGTCGGAGGCAAACTCACCACCTCTGTCAGAGTGCAAGCGCAGGACAGGAAAGTCCGAGTGAAAGCGCTCGCCTAGCTGGAGACGGGCTCGGCTGATCCAGGGGATCAAAACACCAGGGACGTCACCCTTGGCGCGCAAGGGGAAGACCGTGGTGTAGCGCGAGTAGTCGTCAACAACTATCAGGAAGTATCTCTCCTGACCCTGACCACGGACGCGGGCTGGGCCCCACACGTCCATGTGGAGCGTCTGCAGGGGAGCTGTCGTCGGGGGAAAGGAGGAGGAGTGAGGAGCGGCGCGCTGCCGCCCCTCGACACAGGGAATGCAGTCAGGAGCAGGGGAGTCAGGAAGGGGAGGGAGCACCCTGGGAAGACCAGCAACAAGGTCCCGTTTGTGCATGGCCCGCAGGCGCTGCACAGACGGGTGACCAAGGCGGTGGTGCCAGAGGACGGTGTCGTTCGCCAGAGAGCGACACGAGCAGGGGGCGGACAGCTGACCTGACGCTGACGCAGACGCAGCTACCTGAGGGGACTCAGTGGTCAGTGTGTACAGGTCAGACCCCGGCTCTCGAGTGAAAGTAGCTAGATGGCGGCCCGTCCGAGCACACGTGCAGTGAGTCACACGCTCGTAGGCAGGGGTGAACTGGTGAACACCCCCGTCCTGGAGCGCACTACCTGCCACCAAGTTCGTGGAGAACGAGGGGAGGTAGAGACCTGAGAGCGTGCCGGACGGAACCGCTGGACACGGAAGGGTGGTGGAGGAGGTCGCAAGGACCGGACCCCCAGAGGGGTCAGCAAGAGAGACAGCAACCGGCCGAGCTAGAGGCTCAAGGACAGTGCGGTCACGAAAGAAAGAGCGAGAAGCACCTGAGTCCAGTGTGAAGGTGTGCAGTGCTGCAGTCGACTCAGTACCAGGGGGCACAGACGCACAAGCACCTAGAGCAGCAGCGGGGCTGGCCTGAATGCCCGGGTCGGGCGGAACACGCAAGTACTGAGCACCCTCTCCACTAATAGACATCGCATACATGGCAGTGAGAATAGCATCAAAGTCTAGTGCCCAAATATCAACACCCTTCCTGAGCAGCTCAGCCCAGCGCGGCAGCTCACCCCCACCAGGAAACTGGGTGCGCCACGCATCGTTGAGGCGGGCGAAGCAGCGCTCCGTCTGGTGCGGCCCCCCACACGTCTGGCCAGTGCGGTCACCTGTACGAATAACATACTGGCAGGTGACGCTGCGCCGCGCATACCACTCACGAGCGGCCTGAAGGGTCGGGGCAGGCTGCTGACTCTGACCGCCCCCCGGGCCTCCACGACCACCACCCCCTCCGCCTCCGCCCCGGCCACCTCCACCCCTGCCGCTGCCACGACCACCTCCGCCTCCGCTGCCACCTCCGCCCCTGTCACCACTCCCAACGCCGCTGTCACCTCCACCACTGCCGCCACTAGCCTCTCCAGTCGCACCTCCACCGCCACCACCTCCACCTCCGCCTCCTCCGCCACCACCCCCACTCCTGCCACTCCTGCCCCTGCGTCGTCCGCCTGAAGCAGACGCAGCCCCGACCTTCTCAGCACCAAGGAGGTCGACAGCAGCAGCAGAGGCGACAGAGGGGAGGAGGGGGGAAGGGGAGCACCCCTCAAAGAAGGGGCCGCGGGGGTCGCCACGAGAGGTGCCTACAGCGACGATACTAGCCTCGGCTGCAAGCAGTTCCTTCTCGAGGAGGTCTACGGTGAGCTCAGTGGGGGAGCGAGAGAGGAACTGGTCCCTGACAGGGCGCAGAGAGTCAGGGAGGCGGGTGACAACGTGGTAGAGAGTGATCCAGAGCGGGGGGGGGTTGCTAGCGAGGAACTCGTCAGGCATGGCAGCGCGAAAGCGAGCCTCACTAGTCTTAAGGTGGGTGATGAGGTCTGCGACAGTGTGAAAGGAGGCTAGGTCGGGGAACAGGTAGGGGAGAGTGAGGCGGCCTAGAGTGGCAGAAGCGGGTGAGGAGTAGCGGGCCACTACAGCTGTGTAGAGGTCCTTAGCAGTCTTGCACTGGCCGAAGTGCTCGCGCTCATCTAGCGGCAGGGAGTTGCGAATAGCAAAGCGAGCGTGCGCGTCACGGGTCTGCCACTGTGAGCGCTCAGCTGGGGGGGCAGTAGCGGGTGGGGCGGTCGCATGGCCGAGAGCGTGGTCGTACAGTGTAATATCTTCCTTGGCAGTGAGCTGTAGGAAAAGGTGCAGGTCATCTAGCCAGGTTTCGAATTTGACCGGACGGCCCTCGGCGTCGAAAGCTAGAACAGGAGGACTAGCCATAGCGACAGCGGCAGTAGTAGAAGCAGTAAAGTCACTGAAAAGGCGTGCGCAGGGTCAGCGGGGCCGGTGGGGCCTACGGACTGTAGTGGCGCACAAGCAGCAGTAGCAGGAAGTGTAGTAGTAGGATCTGCAGTGGTGCACAGGCGCAGCAGGCGGCAGCGAGAGCCGGCGCAGCAGGGGCGGGCTCAGCAGCGGTGATACGCGAGCGGCGGCGGGCGCAGCAGCGGCGGTGCGCGGGCGGCGGCGGGCTCAGCAGCAGCGGTGCGCGGGCGGCTGCGGGCTCAGCAGTGGCGGGCCGGGAGCAGGCAGCGCGCGGGCCGTGCAGGCCGTATGTGCGCTGCGCGGGCAGCGTGCGGGCCGGCGGCGGTCAGCGCAAGAGCCGCGCAGGCTCAGCGCGGGCTGCGCGGGCTGCTCGCGGGCTGCGTAAGCGGGTCGCGGGCGGCTCGCGGGGGTTCGCGGGCAGGTCGCGGGCTGCTCGCGGGCAGTTCGCGGGCTGTGCGCGGGCTGCGCGGGCTGGTCGCGGGCTGCGCAGGCGGTTCGCGGGCTGCGCGTGGGCGGTTCGCGGGCTGTGAGCGCGGCGCGCTGTGCGGTTCGCGGGCGGCGTGACGGGGCCGATCGGGGCGCTAAGGGGCGACGCGACGGGGGCCGTGAGAGGCCGCTAGGAAAAAAAATTCGAAGGGGGGCCGGAGGGCCGCTAGATCGACGGGGCCAGCGGGGCCGGAAACAAGCGAAGGTAAGCAGGTAGGTAAGTCGGTGGGCCCTAAGAACAGTCCTAACGAAGGACCTGCTCTGAAACCATGTCAGAAATAACTGAGCAGGAATGAATGAACTAGCACAGAGTTTGGTACAAGTAGGAAACCCTAACTTTGTGTACCCCCTAAGGTGTAACCCACTACAGCCTACACAATATAAACATACAATGTTTGACACTAGCATCTGCAAAATTGCAAGAAAAAGGGCCTAGCATCTGCAAAAAATCAAGAACAAGGGCCTAGCGTCTGCAAAATTGCAAGAACAAGGGCCTAGCGTCTACAAAATTGCAAGAACAAGGGCCTAGCGTCTGCAAAATTGCAAGAACAAGGGCCTAGCATCTGCAAAATTGCAAGAACAAGGGCCTAGCGTTTGCAAAAATTCAAAAACAAGGGCCTAGCGAGTGCATAAATTTAAGAACAAGGGCCTAGCATCTGCAAAATTGCAAGAACAAGGGCCTAACGTCTGCAAAATTGCAAGAACAAGGGCCTAGCGTCTGCAAAATTGCAAGAACAAGGGCCTAGCGTCTGCTAAATTGCAAGAACAAGGGCCTAGCGTTTGCAAAAATTCAAAAACAAGGGCCTAGCGAGTGCAAAAATTTAAGAACAAGGGCCTAGCGTCTGCAAAATTGCAAGAACAAGGGCCTAGCATCTACAAAATTGCAAGAACAAGGGCCTAGCGTCTGCAAAATTGCAAGAACAAGGGCCTAGCGTCTACAAAATTGCAAGAACAAGGGCCTAGCGTCTGCAAAATTGCAAGAACAAGGGCCTAGCGTCTGCAAAATTGCAAGAACAAGGGCCTAGCGTTTGCAAAAATTCAAAAACAAGGGCCTAGCGAGTGCAAAAATTCAAGAACAAGGGCCTAGCGTCTGCAAAATTGCAAGAACAAGGGCCCAGCGTCTGCAAAATTGCAAGAACAAGGGCCTAGCGTCTACAAAAATTCAAGAACAAGGGCCTAGCGTCTGCAAAAATTCAAGAACAAGGGCCTAGCATCTGCAAAAATTCAAGAACAAGGGCCTAGCATCTGCAAAACTTCAAGAACAAGGGCCTAGCGAGTGCAAAAATTCAAGAACAAGGGCCTAGCGTCTACAAAATTGCAAGAACAAGGGCCTAGCGTCTGCAAAAATTCAAAAACAAGGGCCTAGCGTCTGCAAAAATTCAAGAACAAGGGCCTAGCGTCTGCAAAAATTCAAGAACAAGGGCCTAGCGTCTGCAAAATTGCAAGAAAATTGGCCTAGCGTCTGCAAAAATTCAAGAACAAGGACCTAGCGTCTGCAAACATTCAAGAACAAGGGCCTAGCGTCTGCAAAAATTCAAGAACAAGGGCCTAGCGTCTGTAAAAATTCAAGAACAAGGGCCTAGCGTCTGCAAAAAATCAAGAACAAGGGCCTAGCGTCTACAAAATTGCAAGAACAAGGGCCTAGCGTCTACAAAATTGCAAGAACAAGGGCCTAGCGTCTGCAAAATTGCAAGAACAAGGGCCTAGCGTCTACAAAATTGCAAGAACAAGGGCCTAGCATCTGCAAAATTGCAAGAACAAGGGCCTAGCATCTGCAAAATTGCAAGAACAAGGGCCTAGCGTCTGCAAAATTGCAAGAACAAGGGCCTAGCGTCTGCAAAACTTCAAGAACAAGGGCCTAGCGTCTGCAAAATTCAAGAACAAGGGCCTAGCGTCTGCAAAAATTCAACAACAAGGGCCTAGCGTCTGCAAAAATTCAAGAACAGGGGCCTAGCGTCTGCAAAATTGCAAGAAAAAGGGCCTAGCATCTGCAAAAAATCAAGAACAAGGGCCTAGCGTCTGCAAAATTGCAAGAACAAGGGCCTAGCGTCTACAAAATTGCAAGAACAAGGGCCTAGCGTCTGCAAAATTGCAAGAACAAGGGCCTAGCATCTGCAAAATTGCAAGAACAAGGGCCTAGCATTTGCAAAAATTCAAAACAAGGGCCTAGCGAGTGCATAAATTTAAGAACAAGGGCCTAGCATCTGCAAAATTGCAAGAACAAGGGCCTAACGTCTGCAAAATTGCAAGAACAAGGGCCTAGCGTCTGCAAAAATTCAAGAACAAGGGCCTAGCGTCTGAAAAATTGCAAGAACAAGGGCCTAGCGTCTACAAAATTGCAAGAACAAGGGCCTAGCGTCTGCAAAATTGCAAGAACAAGGGCCTAGCGTCTGCTAAATTGCAAGAACAAGGGCCTAGCGTTTGCAAAAATTCAAAAACAAGGGCCTAGCGAGTGCAAAAATTTAAGAACAAGGGCCTAGCGTCTGCAAAATTGCAAGAACAAGGGCCTAGCATCTACAAAATTGCAAGAACAAGGGCCTAGCGTCTGCAAAATTGCAAGAACAAGGGCCTAGCGTCTACAAAATTGCAAGAACAAGGGCCTAGCGTCTGCAAAATTGCAAGAACAAGGGCCTAGCGTCTGCAAAATTGCAAGAACAAGGGCCTAGCGTTTGCAAAAATTCAAAAACAAGGGCCTAGCGAGTGCAAAAATTCAAGAACAAGGGCCTAGCGTCTGCAAAATTGCAAGAACAAGGGCCCAGCGTCTGCAAAATTGCAAGAACAAGGGCCTAGCGTCTACAAAAATTCAAGAACAAGGGCCTAGCGTCTGCAAAAATTCAAGAACAAGGCCTAGCGTCTGCAAAAATTCAAGAACAAGGGCCTAGCATCTGCAAAACTTCAAGAACAAGGGCCTAGCGAGTGCAAAAATTCAAGAACAAGGGCCTAGCGTCTACAAAATTGCAAGAACAAGGGCCTAGCGTCTGCAAAAATTCAAAAACAAGGGCCTAGCGTCTGCAAAAATTCAAGAACAAGGGCCTAGCGTCTGCAAAAAATCAAGAACAAGGGCCTAGCGTCTGCAAAATTGCAAGAAAAAGGGCCTAGCGTCTGCAAAATTCAAGAACAAGGGCCTAGCGTCTGCAAACATTCAAGAACAAGGGCCTAGCGTCTGCAAAAATTCAAGAACAAGGGCCTAGCATCTGCACAATTGCAAGAACAAGGGCCTAGCATCTGCAAAATTGCAAGAACAAGGGCCTAGCTTCTGCAAAATTGCAAGAACAAGGGCCTAGCGTCTGCAAAATTCAAGAACAAGGGCCTAGCGTCTGCAAAACTTCAAGAACAAGGGCCTAGCGTCTGCAAAAATGCAAGAACAAGGGCCTAGCGTCTACAAAAATTAGAGAACAAGGGCCTAGCGTCTGCAAAATTGCAAGAACAAGGGCCTAGCGTCTACAAAATTGCAAGAACAAGGGCCTAGTGTCTGCAAAATTGCAAGAACAAGGGTCTAGCGTCTGCAAAATTGCAAGAACAAGGGCCTAGTGTCTGCAAAAATTCAAGAACAAGGGCCTAGAGTCTGCAAAATTGCAAGAACAAGGGCCTACCGTCTGCAATCATTCAAGAACAAGGGCCTAGCGAGTGCAAAAATGCAACAACAAGGGCCTAGCGTCTACAAAACTGCAAGAGCAAGGGCCTAGCGTCTGCAAATTGCAAGAACAAGGGCCTAGCGTCCGCAAAATTGCAAGAACAAGGGCCTGGCGTTTGCAAAAATTCAAAAATAAGGGCCTAGCGAGGTCAAAAATTCAAGAACAAGGGCCTAGCGTCTGCAAAATTGCAAGAACAAGGGCCAAGCGTCTGCAAAATTGCAAGAACAAGGGCATAGCGTCTGCAAAAATTCAAGAACAAGGGCCTAACGTCTGCAAAATTGCAAGAACAATGGCCTAGCGTCTGCAAAATTGCAAGAACAAGGGCATAGCGTCTGCAAAAATGCAAGAACAAGGGCCTAGCGTCTGCAAAAATTAAAGAACAAGGGCCTAGCGTCTGCAAATTGCAAGAACAAGGGCCTAGCGTCTTCAAAATTGCAAGAACAAGGGCCTAGCATCTGCAAAATTGCAAGAACAAGGGTCTAGCGTCTGCAAAATTGCAAGAACAAGGGCCTAGTGTCTGCAAAAAATCAAGAACAAGGGCCTAGAGTCTGCAAAATTGCAAGAACAAGGGCCTACCGTCTGCAAACATTCAAGAACAAGGGCCTAGCGTCTGCAAAATTGCAACAACAAGGGCCTAGCGTCTACAAAACTGCAAGAGCAAGGGCCTAGCGTCTGCAAAATTGCAAGAACAAGGGCCTAGCGTCCGCAAAATTGCAAGAACAAGGGCCTAGCGTTTGCAAAAATTCAAAAACAAGGGCCTAGCGAGTGCAAAAATTCAAGAACAAGGGCCTAGCGTCTGCAAAATTGCAAGAACAAGGGCCAAGCGTCTGCAAAATT